ACCCTGAGGTGGGGGAGACCCTCAGTGAGGGTCTGGTGGGACGCCCTGAGATGGAGTACCCCGAGATAGGGGGACCCCTCGGGTGGGACAGCTCTRAGATGTGGATGCTAAGCATGGGTCACCCATGAGGCGGGACAGCCTGAGGTGTGGAGAGCCCCTCAGGTGAGGGATCCTGTGCCTCAGGTGGGACAGCCTGAGATGGAGCATCCTGACAAAGGGATACCCCTCAGGTGGGATGCCCTGAGCGTGGGTAACCCTCAGTTGTGGTACCCCTGAGGTGGGATAAACTGAGGTGGAGCACCTTGGTATATAGGGGGACCTCAGGGGTGAAGACACCCCTGAAGTGGGACACCCTGAGGCAAAGGCACGCAGGTGTGGGGCACCCCTTATATGGGACAGCCTGAGGTCGGGCATCCCTGAGGTGAAGGCACCCCTGAAATAAGTGATGTCAGATGGGACAAGCTGAGATTTGGTACCTAAGTGTGGGCACCACTGAGATGGGATGCCCTGAGATGGAGGTGCTTCTCGTGTGGGACATCCTGAGATGGAACACCCTGAGACAGGGGTACCTCTGAGGTGGGACATCCCTGAGGTGGAGGCACCCATGAGATGGGATAACCCGAGGTAAATATGGGATGCTTTGAGAGGGAGCACCATGATCTGGAAGTGCCCCTGAGGTGGGACAYGCTGGTATGGTGCACCTGTGAGATGGGGGTACTCATGAGGTGATGTACCCTTGAAGTGGAGGTAACCCTGAGGTGGAGCACCCTCAGCTGAGTTACACCTGAGGTGGAGGTACCCTTGATCCGGAGGGTACCCATAAGTAGGGGACCCCCCCCAAAGGAGGGGAAACCCCTGGGCACAAGGTACCCCTGAGCTGGAGGGAACCTTGAGGTAGAGCACCCTGAGGTGAGAATACCCCAGTATGGGGCATTCTGATATACGACACCCCCAAAGATTTGAGTACCCCTGAGGAAGAGGGGGACACCCATCTGGGGTCAGGATGCTGCTGTCTGGCTTGGGGGCACCCCTGGGATCAGAGCACCCCAGGGCAGGGAGCACCCCGACGGATCTAAGGATGCCTGCCTGGCTTGGGGACACGTGTCTGGCATCAGCGCACCCACATGATGTTTGTGCACCCCTGGAGTTGGAGCACCCCGGGACACGACACCTGGTGTGGATGGGGACACCCCATGTCT